GTATGTGTCCCCACCCCAGCTGGTTTTTTTTTGAGGCAAGGTCTTGCTAAGTCATCATATTGCCCACACTGTGCTTGAGCTTTTTATAATTGTTTTTTGTTTTCTGAGATAGTCTCACTATGTAGTCCAGGCTGCCCTCAAACTCATGGGGATCTTCCTGCCTGTCTCCTGAGTGCTGGGATTACAGGTGTGTGCCACCATGCCTGGCTCCTAATGCTCTGTCTTTGAATTCATGTTTCATGTATGCAGTCTCCATACCTGAAAGTATTTACTTTCTTTTTCGTATTGAGGTTGAACCACCTAAAAGTGGTTCTGTCACTGACCTATATTCGCGGCCCATTTTATTTTGAGACAATCTAGCCAAGTTGTTCAGGCTGGCCTTGAACCTATGACCCTCCTGTCTCAGGTGCCAATACACGGTTTATGTGCAAATCACGCAATCCAAAGACCATATGCCAATCAGCTTGTTCCTTTCTCAAGTTCTGGGAATTGAACCCAGGAGTCCTGTGCTACATCTCTATCCTTGTTTTGTTTTGGTCATTTTTTGAGACTGGGTCTCACTATGCAGTTCAGGCTTGAACTATGTAGCTAAGGCTGATCTTGAACTCATGGTGATTCTCCTGCCTCAGCCTCCTGAGTGCTAGGTTACAAGTTTGTACCACCACACCAGGCTTCATGATTTTTTTTTTTTGGTACTGGGAATCGAACTCACAATCTCACACCTGCCAGGTAGGCGCTGTGCCACTGAGCTAAATCCTCAGCCCCAGGCTTTGTGATTCTCATGAAATATATGTGGATCAACTTTTTTTTTTGTCTTTTTGAGACAGGATCTCGTGCAGTTCAGGCTGGACTTGAGCTCACTTTGTTGCCCAGGGTGACCTGGAACTCTTGATGATCCTCCTGCCTCAGCCTCCTAGTGCTGGGATCATAGGCGTGCAGCACCATGCCTGGCTATGTCGATCCATTTTTTATTATTTATTTATTTTGGTTTTTGGAGACAGGGTCTCACTATGTAGCCTGGGCTGGCCTTAAACTCACTATGTAGCCCGGGCTGTCCTCAAATTAATAGCAATCCTCCCGTCTCAGCCTCCCAAGTGCAGGGATGACAGGAATACACTATCATGCCTGGCACATTCCTGTTGTACTAGAAATGCTCTGTGGGGTATTGAGTACCCAAAAATCAATGGAGTTGAACAAAAACATTCACAGGTAGTCTGCAGGGCAGAGAGGACAAAGGAGGAGATTCTAGTAGGGGGCAGGGCCAGGGTTGGGGCAAGTGCTTCCCCCAGCTCTGGGGGCCGGGGGGCACGGTCGCTCCTGGGGCCCAGGTGGAAGATCGTGGACAGACAGAGCCAGCATGCCTTTTACAGGGCTGGAGTCACTCTCGAAGCCACAGGTCATGCTGTTCAGCTGTCTGCCTGCTGTGTCTCTGAAGCACCTACTGTGCAGGCCGTCTGTGCAGCCAAGAGACACACCAGGCCCTTCCTCACAGGCCCAGGCTTCTGAGCGCACACAAACAAGGAGCAGGCGCTGCCTTAGGCTCACCGGGGCTCAGGGAAGCCCTCTCTGAAGTGACACCTGGACAGAAACAGGAGTAACGACATAGAGCTGGCCAAGCGACCACCAGTGGGAGAGCAGGGAATACCGAGGTCCTGGCGTAAGGAACAGAGAGAAGGCTGGAGTGTGATGGGCAAAGGAAGAGGTGGGGACAGAGGAAGGGTTTCTGTTGTGTTTCTTTTGAGACAGGAACTCCCTATGTGGTTCAGGCTGGCCTTCAAGTTGCAGTGATCCTCCTGCCTCAGCCTCCCAGGTATTTCGATCAGGTGTGCACCACCATCCAGCACACAAGGAAAGCCCTGTACCACTGAGCCACAGCCCAGCCCAGCTGGAGAACTGCAATAGACTCAGGGAGCGGGGTATGTAGTCAAGCCCACGGGTCAGAGAGGAAGTGACAGTGTCAACACACTCCAGGAGCAGGGCGACGAGTCCAGGGAGATTAAATAAATGGAGGAAGTGACAGTGAGCGAGCTGGGTGCCAAACGAGACAGAGTCTGAAATGCAATCGGCTTTTCCGGTCCAGAACCAGCTGGGTGTGGTGGTGGTGCCATAATCCCAGTGTTCTGGAGGTTGAGACAGGAGGATCCCAAGTTCAAGCCCTGCCTGGGCAATTTGGAAACTCTGTCTCTAAATAAACAAACAAATAAACAAACAAATAAATAAAGGAAAGGGCAAGGTAGCTCCGTGTGAAGGCCCTGGGACTGGGCGTTGGAAGTGAAGTCAATCTCGCCACTTTTGTCTGAATGTTCTCTTTCCTCAAGCGTTTGGAAGAAGCGTTGCATTGACACACAAATGCAATCCATCCTGTTCCCACGCTGGTGACTCGGGTCTTCTGGGCGCCACGTTTACCCCATGCCCCCTCTGGGCCATGCCGGTGAACCCCAGGGTTGAGCCCCTCCTTCCCTGTCCGCTGGCTTTGAGATGTCTTGGGACTGGGGAGCGCTGTGCACCTTCCCTAAGGGGCTCCTGCTGAGGCACAGAATTCCCAGCGTGGGCAGTGGTTCTCCCCGCTCTCATACAAAGGTCAGGCTGCTTTCGATGATCAAACAGCAGGGACGGCAGAGTAAGACTGAAATCCAGCCTCTTCTCTTTAAAGTCAGAACTGGAGGCAGGTCTCTCGATCTAGTCAGGCTGCCCTCAAAACTCCCAGCGATCCCCTGCTTTAGCCTCCGGAGTGCTGGGATGACGAGTGTGCACCGCCGTGCACAACTTTACACTTGTGAGATTAGCTGATTAAAGTCTATGTCCCTAATCAGACAAGGACCAGGAACTACTAGTTCAGCACAAAATACGTATTAAATGGGGCCCAGCAACGCACGTGTAACCCCAGGCAGTGTTCCTGGCACTCCCTGCATGAACCCCGCAGCAAGCCCTGAGGGAGGCACAGCTGTTGGCCCCAGCAGGCACTGCAGAAAGTAAATCATGGAAACCCAGGACCCAGGGAGCTGGCACAGCTCAGGCGGTCCCTGGCTGGTGTCTGCGCTCGATGCCCAAGCTGTGTGCGGTGCCCTCTGGAAACTCTGGAGGTCAGCATCAGGCGGGAACACTCTTGGTAGGAGCTAACCAGCCCCATCAGTATACCTCAGGTCAACTGCAAAGTCCTTTCATTTTGGTTTTCCATAAGGATCTGATGTTTGTTGTCCAACGTTAACCTCCTTGCATCTTTTTTTTTTTTTGTCTTTTTGAGACAGGGTCGCCCTATGCAGCCCAGGCTGGCCTCAAACTCTCAAGGGTCCTCCTGCCTCAGCCTCCTGAGGGCTGGGATTACAGGTGTGTACCACCACGCCCCGCTCAGCTACTTTAATAACCCATTTGCAGCCGGGTGTCGTGGTGGCACACCTCTATAATCCCAGCACTCTGGGGGCTGAGGCAAGAGAATTGCAAGTTCAAGTCCAACCTGGGGCTTGTGAGCCTATCTCAAAATTTAAAAAGGGGAGGGATACAGCTCGGGGGCAGTGCTGGCTTAGCACATGCCAGGCCCCGAGTTGAACCCCAGTGCCTGAGAAAACAAAATCTATTTGCCCTCACGGGTGTGATCCTGACCAGGGCCAAGGCAGAAGAGGTGGCCCAGGAGCTGCTGCAGGGCAAGTGAAAGACGGCTTGGGGACCCGCGCGGGTCAGCCGTGCTGTGGATCTGCACTGACAGCCCTCACTGATGTCCGACGCAGTTACACACACTCCTTCGCAGTAAGGGAGCCGTTAAGACCCAGGAAATGGACAGGTGACAAGACGGTGTGAGGAATGATGTCCCGACACGTCTAGCCACAGGCTGTGAGGTTATCTCTGGCCGGGAAAGAGCATCAAAGGTAGCCGGCCAAGCCTTCTTGCGTAATGCTGGAGTTCCCCGCCCTCAGCAAAGTCGGATTTCCTGCCGGGCCTTCCCAGAGTGGCTGAGGCTGGGCGATTACTTCACACGCTCAGCACAGTTGGGAGCTCTGTGCACCAGCCGCATCCACCTAACCCTGGAACAGTGCGCCGGACGTGTCAACAGCCCAGGAACTTCTTCCCCTGAGCCCATGTACCTGCTTCGGGAAGTTCAAGGAAGTTCAACTACAGGCACGTTTTTCTTTACTTGCATTAAAAATAGCTTTTTCTGGGTGTGGTGTCGCCTAATCCCAGCACTCAGGAGGCTGAGAGAGGAGGGTCAACGAGCGAGTCCGAGGGCAGCCTGAGCTAGCGAGACCCTGCCTCAAAACAAAACAAAACAAAACAAAACAAAAAAAACCCAAAAAGCAGGTTTTCATGAGTACCCAGAGCTGAGGACTGAAAAAAAGACCATAAACCACGATCCTTTTTGTCTCTACGTTCTTTCTGGGTCAAGACTGTGCCTTTACACGAAAGCCGGGGCGGGGGCGTGAGTCACTTCTGCTCCATCGGGCACCTGCTAAGGGGTCCAAACCCACTACGCCGGGCTTTGCTATCACGAGGACCCCGGACCCTCCGCTCCGGCCCGACCCGGTCACCGGCGGGCTGTGTGACCTCGGGCCGGCTGCATACCCTCTCTGGGCGTCAGCGTCCGCACCGCACGCTGGCGGTTGAATCACGTGCTCTCCAAGGTCCTTCCAGCCGACAGCTCCGCACCCAGCCGGCCTCGCCATTCAGTCGCTTCCTGTGGGCGCGGCCCCAGCTCGGAACGGCCCCTCCCCCGCGCAGGCCCGCGAAACCGCGCTCCGCACGCCGCGCGAGCGACGGCCGCCGACCCGACTGCGGTCGGCGCTCAGCTCCGCCCTTTCCCGGGCGCGTCCCGGCGTGCCCCGCGCCAGGCTCAGAAAGCGGCAGGGCGCCTCCCGCTTTGGCGCGCCCCGACCCCGAACTCCTCTCCTCAGTTCTCCCGGGCACCCTGACCTATCAACGTCCAGGACGCCGGCCAATCACGAGAGCGCAGAGCCTTACCTCCGGCCCACCTCCCTCCTCGCGCTCAGCCGGTCGGAGCGCAAGGCCCTTAGTAGACCCACCCAATCATCGGGCGGTCCTCACCTGCCCCACCCCAAGGTCCCTTCCTCCGGCCAATCCGCGCGCCCCATCCCTCTGCCCGCCTAGCCAACCCGGGGCCTTGAAACCCGCGGGCGAATGGGCGCAGGGCGGCCCTTCAACGCTAGCCGACTGGCCAATTGGGGATTCCGCGTGGCCACGGCCGCAACCAATCGCTGTGGAGCGCGGTGCAGCCGCGGAGAGGTCCGGCCCGAATATCCCTCCGCCTTCCTCCCGCCCTCTCTCTCCCCGCCTGCGAGCCGCCGCTCACTTACTGCCTCCCTTCTTTCTCCCTCCGCCGCCCGAGCACCAGTCGCGCTCCTAGCTGCCCCCGGGGTCCCTCCCCCGCCGCCAGAGAAGCAGCCGCCGCGCCGCCAGCAGCAGCTCAAGAGGGCGGAAGACAGAGGAGAGAGGAGGGGAGCCCGAGCGCCCGCCCCGAGGGAGCCGGTGAATGGGCTTGTGGTGACCCCCGCCCCCCACCCCGCCCTCCCTTCCCACCCGACCCCCAACCCCCACCCCCAGTCGGAGCCGCCGCCGGGAGAGGCCGGGCCGCTGTCCAGGGAGGAGCCGCGTCGCCACCTCCGCCATGGAGCTGATCACCATTCTCGAGAAGACCGTGTCTCCGGGTAGGACGCGGGGTCGGGGGTCGGGCCGAGGTGAGCGCGGGGCGCGGGGGCCGCCCCTGACCCCGCTCCGGGCCCGCTTTCCCCCCAGATCGGCTGGAGCTGGAGGCGGCGCAGAAGTTCCTGGAGCGCGCAGCGGTGGAGAACCTGGTGCGTGCGCCGCGCCGCGCCCCG